GGTTTTTTTTTTTTTTTTTCCCGGGGGGGGCCCCCTTTTTTTTTTTTTTTTTTTTTTTCTTTTTTTCCCCCCCCCCCCCCCCCCCCGTCCGCGTGCACGTATGTATCTACACGGGCATGGCACTCACTTGAATACCTCCCCGAGTCCCCCGTTGGTTCTCCTTATATAACTGGTTGTCTGGGTTAGTGGGAGAGTGGGGGATAAAACGGGCCACCGTAACGCTGTACGCATCGTCTACATACAATAAAACCTTTGGACCGGGTTGCCGCATTGCTGTTGTGGGAGGTGGCAGCAACAGATACCGCATGATTGCAAGGTCTGCCATGCCCCACACTGCTGTTTTAAATAGAGTTATTGGTCCCACCATGCTTGGTATATATTGCACTCCCTTCAAGTGTGCGGGTGCCATCCTTGCCAACCAAGGATAATCTGCTGCTGCTGCTGCTGCTGGCTGGCTGGCTGCTTAGTGTGTCCCAGGAACAGGATGCCAAATAGTGGCACACATCGACACGCTTGCATCGGCTTAAAAGCTCGTCGTGAACGCGATGCACTCACCAGAGTGGGCCATCCTGTTGCAGCGTGAATCATCGATAACTCGTCTGGCCGTGTCCCCACGGGCGAGCGGCCATCCACCAACGAAACCACTGCGAGGTAAAATGTTCTTTGTCTGTTCCTGCTGTAGACGCACCCACCGGCAGGAATTCTATTCCCTGACTTTGTCCACCAACACTTGCCCGCAGCCTACGGAGCCCTGGACTTCCCTTGGCCTTCGCTGTACCGCTCTGTTCTACTTGTTTAATCTCTGTGACACGTTCATTGTGGCCTCTCTCCTGTCGGTGCCTGTCTAGCCTTTCCCTCTCCGATTCAAAAAACAACACGGACCTGTCAGCTTTTCGACCAATCAGCGACGAGCTACGAAACGACCACCCACCTGCTCGTCAGCTCGTCAGGTTCAGCAGTAGCGGCCAGAGCATACAACACCACTTTTTAACGCAAAATATCGAGCAAGTACCCTCCACGCTGCATACCAGCTGCTAGCTGCGAGCAAGGGATATCTACTACCCAGGTGCGGGGATGATAGGGCTATGTGCTTCTCTTGTCTTGGGGTTTGAGTGCACGACGATGGGAGTGTTGAGATTGCGAAACAGGCCGCCAACTTTCTTTGCAGTTGAAGAGTAGTTCCCTATGCTTATCTTCGCGCCCCCAGCCCTCCCACTAGCTCTCCCCTCGCGCCAACATCCCAACCGTGGGTTGGGCAGTTGCCGTGGATTCGTGTTCTCCACCGCTCTTCCCCGCAAGAGCAACCCGGCAAACAACAACGCAGTATTCGAATAAATAGAATCTCTTCGCACAATTTTGAACCAAGTGTGTGTGCGAAAGGAAGATGGCGATGATTTTCGCGGATCTCTTGAGGGCCGAGAGGAACCATCGCAGTAGTAAGGAACGACTTTAACACCCACAAGCACTAAAACAACGCCAGGTTACAACTGCAAACCGAGAACCGGGTGCCTTCTCTGCGTGCAGAGTCTCGTTACGTGTGGTTTGTGGCATGTGTCTGTCCATGTGTTTTCCTGAACGCCCGCGCACAAGACTCTGTTCGCTCGAGGCTTTTTCTGGAAAGTTTATTTTCGCCGCCGGTCGGGTGCATCACGTCACCGCCACACCAGACACCTGTGCGCAAGGCAAGATGCTGCTCTGTGCGGGCGAGGGCGAGCCAGGGGTGGTGTAGGACACGCGTGTGTACGTGGAGCGGTGCAATAGCTATTGGTCGAGGGCAGTGGCATAGTCTAGCGCCTCTATTCTTCGTCTCTCGGTTGTAACCACCACAGAAAAAAATTATGAGCGAAAGGGGATCGACTCGACCCCCCGCAAGCAACGTGCCGGCGCTTGGGTGCCGCAGACACATCGTACGACGGTGGTGACACAGCAGCAGTGTAGCACCCCATGCCCCACCTTGTCCAATCACCGTCCCAGCGGGTGCACTAGTCTACATATGTACACCCCTAAGTTGTTCGGTTGCATATCACCAACCAACCAACACTCGTTCTATCTCCTAATCTCCGACTCCAGGAGCACCTGGCGCTCTCCTTCCAGAGGAGCGGATTATTTTCTGGTATCCATACAAACGGAGGGATTCTCCCCGATATTTTATATTTTTTCGTTGACCCAGTAGAGGTCAGGGGATGTATTGTAAATGTAAGTTACCTATACAGATGTTTTTGTACTTAGAACCAGCTGGCATAACTGGTATAAATCATCAGTGTATAGACTTAAAAAGACTCGAAATAAGTCCAGTACCCAGCCGGTTTTCCTCCACTCACTGAAAAAACTCCACCACATCCCGTTCGACTGCTGTGGGTATATCTTGAATGGGTAGTCTTTCTGTTTGTGTTTTTATTATTCCTTAACGCATACTTGTACTGCACGAAAGCAATGCATACTGCACGAAAGACACCTTGAGACGTAGGTTACATGACACAAGATACCACACACCCTTGGACCCATTTTCAAAGCCTGATTACTCACGACGAAGAGGATGCCGATATCAAATGGTGCTTTTTCGGAAAGCTCTCGACGAAGCGCTTCTAAAGCCGCCGTTGTCGGCACCGTCGCTGTTTTTCCTGCCGGTAATCGAGATCTGAAAATCGGTCCAGGGGGTGTGATATCTTTTTCAACCTGTACGGGAGTCTACAGCAGTAGATTGCTTGCCATTTTGGTCGAGAGATGGATTTATTTTTGTGTATTCGTATGCTACGAAAGAAAAGCAATGAAGTGGTGGGAGTTGGTGGTCCTCTGTAGTTCTTTACGATTTCATGATTTGCCACCTTTGCCCTCAGTCTCTTAACCTATGCATGCCGTACACGCCCACCAACGGCGGTACTGCAGTGCCTAAAAGGATTACTTGGCCTCATATTGACCAAGGTGTGCTTGGCTTTAAGGGTTGTTGAACTCTGAGGTTGGAATCAGGATGCAAACGACGTGTTTAAGACGCACTTGTTCTTGCCGTGCGTCAACGTTAGTATATAGCCTTTTCGTGTTTGTGTTTATTTTTTCCTGATAACAAGTTTTATTTCGACAGATAGTCGTAAGGCCGCCTCCAGATTGAACAGATGAACCCCCCCGGCAGACAACGAAGAACCACCCCTCCGAAAATTGGAAGCATGGAGAGCGGAATCTTGAGTAAAATATTTTTTCCTGGAAAAGAATAGCTGCCACCGAGGTTCCGCTTCGGTGACCGTAGTACTTGGTGCGATGAGAGTCGTTTACAAGTGGGGCTCATGTTAAGCCGCAACAGCTGCGAGTGTATTATCACCGGGTGACTTCCAGTCGGTGAACTTGGCGATGTCTCTTGTCCCATAACTCAAGCCTTCTACAACCACCAAATCAAAGCATGTTAGCGGTGTGCTTAGTCTATACCTTGCGCCGTACTTTTCGAAGAGGACCCATGCACCAAAAGAGTTCCATTGATATGGTTAGTGCCTTTCCTTCACAAACACGCCCTACCGATTTTTCTCCATGGCCGCCCCCATACCCCCTTCCTTTCGTGACTGTCTGCGTCTCCCCCCCAAAACAATGCACAGGGCAGACGAGGAGAAAACAACAGGAAGAGCGCGAACGCCTGGGAAAAGAACGCAAAGAAACGCCACTGCGGATCCAAGCAACTCCCCGCGACAGGGCAAGGAAGACACGCACCAGCCGAAAGCGTTTCGTAGATTCTGGTGGTAGATACCCGGGCGTGGTTGCCGAGAGTGTGTGAGACCCGCGGACACGATGCAGGCGCCCACGCCTTCCAAGGCGCTGTACATCGTGGCGAAGGAGGCAAAGGGTCTCAAAAACGTTCAGGTAAGGTTCGTGCAAGGCATTTGGCACAGCTTTCGTCGAGATGTGCGTTGGTTGTTGGCAATTAAAGGTGCTTTGTAAATGAAGTGCTTGTGTGTTGGCTGCTGGCATTGGTGAACAACGGCGATGATGCTTTTGCGCACATTTTTGTAAGAGTGCAAAATGCGCAGCTCGGTGCCGGTCGTGAGTGCGCAGCACTGGGCCGAAGCATGGAAGAGGCGAAGAGGGTTGATGGGGGACGCTTGCCACGATATCGTTGGAAAGGAAGCAGGAGGCGTGCAGCTGTAGAGGGGTTACTCTCCCCGTGTTTGTCCCCGGAAATAGGTGCGGCGTATGTGTGCGTGCGATGCACCATGCCGTGTCACCCCTGCGTAGCCCGCTTCTCGTCATACCCCACCCACGCAACATATCTTGTCTCAAATGGACAGTTCGTTCACCGAGTGTGATCGTCCCTGTCACATTTCGTCTACACCCTGCCCACTTTTTCGTCTTATTTTTGTTGATGCCTCATTTCATTTTCCGCGCCCTTTTCTTCTACCCAGTTTGAAAATCCGTTACACCAGTCATTGATTTTTGCCGCTCATGTTTCTCTCTCCATCTTATTCTTCCGATTCTTTTTTCGCTTCAACAGATGATCGGCCGACAGGACCCTTACTTGAAGCTGTGGGTCGGGCGGGCCGGCACGAAAGTGAAGACTAAGGTGCACGAGGACGGGGGAAAGGTCGCCACGTGGAACGAAACCTTCGTGTTCGACCTCCAGGCGTGTACAAGTATTGTATTGGGCGCATGTATGACACTTGCTTGTCCTTGTTGGTGTTTGGAAAAACTACGTATTGTATTATGAACATGATATATATGCTCCGAGCATGTGCATTCGTATATTGTCATAGAATGACTGCCCGTTCGACATAAACCACAGTAGTCGAAATGATTCTTATTTTTTTTGTTTTGAAAGTGTATATGTGTGTCCTATTTAGTCACCAACCAGTGTCTTCAGCCAATAAGCCATGCATAGAAAACGACCACCGTTTCGTTTGACCGCACACAAGCCACCGAGAAAGCTCTGTTGTCGTCGCCGCCGGGTACATGTACCCACCAACACTCGTGTAAGACGCAGGCCTGCCCGTTCCCAGCTACGGCATCTAGCTTGTTGCTCTTTCTCCTGGTGGTGCTTGAGGGAGACACGTGTGTGCACCATAATGTTCTGTGCATTTTGGGACCCGCGTTCAAGAACAAATACACAATACAGCCGTATTATTTCTCTCCTCCTTCCTTTCGTCCCCCGTCCCCCGTGCTGCGTCACCCGTCCCGACTCTGATTCACTGCCCCGGTGGGTTCTTGCGATCAGGGCCCTCTTTTTTTTTGCGAGTGGCTCACCCTCTCCTCTCTGTTTCATTATCTCTT